GCGATGATGTTGTTCCTGAGCGACCCATCTCTTCAAGATCCCCACCACAGGTGCGACAGTTGAACGAAGTACAACGCGAAAGCGTTGTGCCGTCGACTTCAATTGCATCCCCGACTCCCTTTCGCTCAACGCCAGAGAGCGCCAGTAAGGCTGCGCAGAAGAAGAAGCGCAAGAGCGGGCTCAGGAATGTATTTCGGAAGATGTTCGGACGAAAGAGCCCGGACCGGGAAGATCACGAGGAAGAACCGATGCAGCGTGGTCATAGCTACCACCACAGCGTAAGTCTGCGATAACACTGTGACGACCCAATTCTGACAATGGACAGGACCCTGGTCTGCTGAGGTCAACACCACCGCGAGAACCGAGGACACCGCCTGCCGGTCCTCGGATATCAGATCTGCCAGTAGAGGAGCTACAGCCATTGCACCCATTGGGCCAGCATCTCCCGTATCCTATGAACGTGAATGCCCCACCAGCGAGTCCACCTAAGGAGTATCTCACTTTCGACATGGATAGGCCCGATCTCGGTCGCCGGAGAGCAACACTACCCACTGTTCCAAGTGCTATCACTCACCGGCGCAGTCTGGACGAGCCCCGAGAGAAGCTATCAGCGTGGGATGAAAGGGTAGAAGAAGATGAGATGTCTCCAGGTATCGGTATCGCCGTGTCCAGCCCTACTCAAACGGTGGCCTCCAGACACGACAGACGACGATCGAGAAGTGCAGATGCTCTTCACAGTCTCGCCAAAGAACGCGCGTCAACGGAGAGAGGACGAAGTGCGGAGATTAAGTTCTGGCGGGAGAGCTACATGTCCGGCAGCATCTATAGTAGACCGCAAACGGCGAAAACGGTGGAGACCGTTCGCACCGTGCCGACGCAGGAGCCCATGATTCGTGAACCAGACAACGAGTCTTTTAACGAAATGAGCGCGACGCTCGTCCAGGCGGACGACTCGCAGACCCCCACTCCGATCACCGAAGAGCCGAATCGCGAGCAGAAGCACGCTGAGCAACCCCCAGTCCCGGCCTTCAACTTTGGCGACCTGAAGAATGCGCTGTTTGGACCCAAAGAGGAGACTATTCCAGAGTCGCCTCAAGTCAGAGACGTCTCCCCACCACCTCCGCCGCCAGCCAAGAGTCAACATCGCGTGCCCATTGAGGACCGCGTTCAAGACCTCGAACACAGGTACTCTAACCTCGAATCACTTACCCGTCAAATGTCATCCCGCAACAACCGGCAAACCATCATTCTCGAAAGTGCACCTCGTAACTTGCGATCAAGGAATCGGAGCGTATCCGCATCCGGTTCTCATTCGCGATCTCACTCCAGAGCAGCACCCAGCATTCACCAAGAGCCCATTCATCAATCAAGTAGCGAGACTCTTGATCCTGAGCCTGCGCCTGGTTCCCCAACTCTAGCAGTACCCCCCGTTCCCAATACGGGCAGCAACGAGGAGAATGCGCGAGCGCTACGAAACGTGTATGAAGCGCTCAAACACGAGAGGGGCGCCAGGAAGGCATTGGAATCACAAGTCCGCACTCTTCAACATGACGTGTCAGATCTACATGCTCTGGTCAACAAACTCATCGCTTCAGCGACCGCTACCTCACCATCGTATCCTACTCCTTCTCCTGACACGTTAATAATCTCGAGTGAAGATCAGCGGATAAGCTGTTCTACACCAAGAGCTCCAACGCATGACCGAAATATGATTTACGGCCAGAACAGCCATAGCAAAGACCAGCGATGGGGTAATGATGATTCAAGCGTTTACTCTGAGGATCTGGCGCGGAAGCCGAGCTACGATGACGTCGCGACGCCAGACGTGTGGGCGACACCCAAGGAAGAAGGGTTTGGCGGAAGTGGTTTCTTCCATGGTGAGGACAGGATGAGAGGATATGCTTGAGACTTTCGGATCGCTTGATGCGGTCTTGAGACGTGGAATGATTGGCAAGGTTTTCTTTCCTCTGGATACGTCTGAGTATGGCATGAACTTTGCATGTTTGTAAGATACCCAGCGTGGGCGTTGATCTGGCGCGCACGCTTCTCTTTGTTCAGCGACTTCTTTTCTTGTGTTTACGGTTTGATTTAGCGAGTGAGCGTATGGAAATGCATGCATTCTTGATCAGTTACTTTTAATCATCATGGAAAATGTGATGCCAGATCCGCTGCGATCTGAGTGAGGTAAAAGATAACATATTTGTCATTTGAATCACGCAGCTGTATGTACATGAATTTGAAGCTATATTGTGGCTACCGTCCACTGCCACACGTAGTACCGCGATGACTCTTCTGCACCTCGTTATCCACGGTGGTTGAGCAACGGAACGATAAGTCTGGAGGAAAAGAACTGGACAGGTGCTTGATAGCTGGGAGACGAGCCGCAAATACCATTGCCATGACGACATGGCATGCTATAAAGCGAAACTATAGAACTTAGACAGACACTTCCCTCGGTGCTTACATTAGCTGACATGAACGCCATAGCATCACCAAATCCGCGCCCATTCCCTCCTAATCCACAAAATCTGCAGAACCAAGCACTTGATTGGAGTCAATGAGCTTAAGATGTTAAAGGCTGGACCATCTTATGTCTTTGATAAGACTGTGGCACCCGAGAAGAAGTGCGCTATGTTCTTCCTCATAATCCACAACGGGAGTGGGATGTAGGCTGAATGATGACGTACACATAGAGCAAGTAGGCATATCTTCGGAATGCGCTGTGTAGCCCACGGATACATTCATGACAATGAGTCTAGATATGCGAAGAAACGTAGGCAATATTCTCACTTCCTTATGTTGTGATCAAACGTTTTCTATCCTCATCATGCAGCGTGCTCGAACACCGTACCGTCTTGAACTTATACACCAAGCCCTATATCACATATTATACATTTGGAGGTATGATTGAATAACTTCATTACGTTAATCATTATGTACTTATTCGCTTGCTGGCTCGCTTATAACGCTTCAAAAACATTTTCCCTCCAACATTAGATACTTCTCATACAGTCATTATTGATCCCCACTAGTTGACGTGGGGAACATAGGTGGGACCTCTACCCTCCTCGAAAGTAGGTCCGACAGGTCCGTCGAGGTAAGTACTTCCGCGGTTGCCCGCATAAGAGCTGTCCCTCATGCTCTCGCTGTAACGCGCATCTTTGACAACCTCAGGCCTTTGCTCGCCCTTGCGGCCAAAGCTCCAGGCGCCCAGAAGTACCAAAGCGAGGATACCAAGATCGCACAGCTCGCCGAAGATGATGAAGAGAAAAGCGAGGGCCTGGTTTGTAGTGCGCGAATAGCTGTTCACGTTCTTGTAGATGAGTACCAGCTGCGCAATGGAGAAGGCGTTGCGGGCCCAAACAAGAGGCGTAACGAGGAAGACGAAGCGGGTAAGAGCGGATTTGGAGCGGTTCTCGAGGTTGTCAGCACATGCTTATGCGCACGAGAGGGGTACACTTACACCAGTGATGCCGTTCTTCTTGATACCAAGCCAGCACAGCACTGCCTCAAGCGTCGCACTAGTCGAAGCTGCAATAACAACAGCGACGTAGGTGACGTACAATGTTCGGACAAGATAGTCACTGCGAATCAAACTAGGGTACGCAAGCGCACTGTTACCGCTACCACGCCTTGCAAGACCAACAGCCCAGCTCGCGAATCCAAGAGCAAGGATAGCCAAGATCCAGAACCCGTTCCAAATCCAAGATAGGAAACCAGGTTCCTTGATACCGGTACCGTTGTTCTGGACGTGGTTGGCGTGGATCCAGATGGCGCCTACAATGCACGCATTCATGATGATCATGGCGCATTGGTAAAGGAAGGAAAGGATGGAGATGATTTTCCCATATTTGATAGAGTCATTGTTGCCGAAGGGCGCGGTGTACTGGGGGTAGGAGTAGGCGGATGTGATATAGAAGGGTGAGTTCAGACGGGATTGAAGGGCAACGATTGAGGATTGTGTTGCGTAGGCGATCATTAGGGTGAAGAGACCGGTGATGAGGAAGATTTGAGTTCCCATAGAGCTATGTTGCGTGTCAGTAGCTGTGAAATCTGAGTAAGAGAGGCTGGATGATAGTACCTGTGCCTCTTCTCGGTTGACCTGGTAAACTTCATAAATCTTCGTGGGCGGCCTGGTCCGCCAGCAAGCTGACGACCGAAAAGAGCGAGGGCCGCCAGGAGGAGGATGATGGCACTTCCTGCTGTAACGACATGGAGGGAGAAGATGGCCTGGACGGTGCTGGTGGTGTTTGTGATGGCCATTGTGAGAGCTGGACGGATGCGCAGCGCAGCGTCTGGGCAAGACCAATTCTTCAAATTATTTTGCTATAGTAATGTTGCGTTTCTAGATGCAAACACAAGAGACTTTATCACATCAACCAAATCTATGCGGTCATACCTCACAAGCCGAGGCCATGACGACGAGTTACTGTCAGACTTTGACAACGTTGACGTGCATCGAGACCCAGCAACCTTCTGGCCTGGTGTTTAGCCATGTGACTAAACGTAGCCTCAACGTAGATCGTGCAATCAATGAGTACGGTGCGAGTCGTGATGCTGCGTTTAGCTTGGTCGAATGACGTTTAGCGGCGCGGAGAGTTCGGAATGACGTCGCAAGCCAATAGCACAAGCGACACCATCATCGTAGCCAGATGCTTTTCTGTTTGAACCCTCTATTTGAGTTGTTTTGCTTGGGCACCGAAGATCGTCGCGCTCGTGATGGTGTCATCGTGGTGGAGATGTGAGCGCGGGAGATGTGTTCGCTTGTGGCATGATCTTCCCAGGGGCTTCTTGCTTGTGGGTTCCGTGTAACCTTGTTGACGCGCTAGCTAGTGGGAACATGATGCGCGATGAACCTCAAAGCAGGATTTCCAAGGCGGACGAGAGAAAGGCGACGATGCTCAAAATTCTCCTGTATCGAGTGCACACTATCAGAACGCGTGGATTGGCGAGTCTTCCATAATCGATGACGGGCTCATGGCTTCTTACACCCCGATCCATCAATCGCTCTTTCCAACTCCAACCACCCTTCCACTGCCTCTGAGTCCCAGCTCTTCGGGTGTCCTGAACCTCCGCACGGACTCTATATCATTCCTTCCACCGCTTTTGCGTTTGCCATGCTGCGCCTGTTCGTAGTCGTCTTTATGCAATCCACACCCAAAGATGATAAACAAGCACACAATGACGAACAGCGCCATGACTGCAAGAATAAATATGAACAAAGACCAGATGCCAGAGCTAATGTAGTCGACAAAGGATGACGAAGCCGAATTGACCATATGTGTCGCAGTGCCTTTCTTGCCATTGGCATCCCAGTCGTGGAACCACATGTGCATTTTCATCGGTTTTTTGATATCTTTACGTGGAACGAGTGAAGCACGGATGATTTCGTACGCGCTCGCATGGTCGCCAGCTGAGAGCAAGGGACGCTGTAGAAGCACGACTTCCAGAACCTTCTGCTCCTCCTTGTCCATGATGACGGTAAGATGTGGAGAGGTCAGATCAGTCCACATCTCCATGACATCAAAGTAGAACAGCAGCGCGTTGGACTCTTTGAGACTTCGCAAGGAGTAGGAGTATGAAGCGCCAAAGTAAGCACCTCCAAGGTTGTCGAGCTGATTGGATTCAACAAGCTTATCGACATCGTCTTTCGACGTGTCCAACAAGACTTGATTGACGTATATCCGCGGCAGAATCTTTGAGTCTGCTAGCAGTGGAGCATTGTTGATGTTCAATTGCGATGAGTCGTATGGGAGAGAGATGTTCAGCAGCTGGAGAGCGTCAGCCTGTAAAGTCATTCTTACGAGAGTAAGATGCAATCACCAGAGCGTTATCATCTCTCCTCTCAGTCCATGGCGCATCGCTGCCTTGCGACGTGTCCTGGTGTAGGAACGGGCAACCAATACATGGGAGCTTGGCAATCACGTTGTAGCCTTCTGCAACGGTGGTGATCTCCGGCGCAACTTCCGCAGCTACGAATCGTGCGATCGCGGAAGCCACAATTAGAGGTGCTACCTGGAATATCATGATAATTAATATGAAGATCCGGTTGAAGTGATGTTGCGCGTGTTGACACGTTTGAGCTGAGTGTATGTAAGCCGAGGCGAGTGGGGCGGCATCCTGGATCATGTGAAGGCGCGAGTTAGCGTGTTTGGAATACGAGCTGCATCAATTGCATTCCACTTTTTGTATAAGACGTGTAATTCTGAATTTAGTTGCATTGACCGAGCAGACTGGATGTTGAATGAACGCTTTCCTGATATGTGTTTTACTCATCAACATACACACTTGATCTCAAGGTTTGACCTCTCAAGCGCCGTCGCCAACTCTTCCCTCTCCATGAACACTCGCGGATCAATACTGTAAACACATGTATCCAGAGTCTTTGCATCATGGCTGAGCTACTATCCTGTGTATGGAGAGCCTGCAATGTAGTGAGTGTTCATTTTGTTTTTCCATTTACCTCATCTTGTCCATCAATGCCATTCTCTCTCATCAACATTTGAAATGTTTCCAACGGGACGTAATACTGTACGGTTGAAGCTATCGTGAGGTACGTACGGATCGATTTCTGGTGTTGTACGTACTGTAGGTCCAAAAAAAGCTCTAAGTACGGGCCGTAACCGTAGTACGTTC